ACCTTAGCCACTTGAGCCACAGGTGCCAAGCCACCAATTCCACTCTTGCCCAATGTATCCCCTCACTAGCACAGAAGAGGCGAGAGGAAGCTGTCCGTTTAACAGATATAAAATCAGAAACTGTAGTCTCTCCTTTTTGGTTTGGTTGTAGTTGCAAAACATTAGATGTTCTTTCAGCATAGTCAGTGAAAATCCTTGGTTTTCAATTGGTGCCTTGAACTAGAATTTAAGCCCCTGCTATTGACTTCTGGAGCTCTGCAGCCATTGGCACCAACAGTTCTTGAATTCTTCGTGTCCTTCACAATCTTGCCTGGCAGCATCCACTCTGTTTCTGAAAGCTTTAATTTCAGTAGGATCTGGGTGACTTTTACTGCAGGTGACCACAGATGATAACTTTTGCCATGAGCTATCTCGACATTACCCAAATTTTCATTATCCTCTGACCCAACCTGACCGGATAATCGACCTCAATTGTTCCTCATTTTCTGAGGGTATGTTGCTGCCCTGTTGTCAATCCTGTATTTCCCAGAGTTCTTGATTACAAGCAAAATGTTCAGGAGTGCTGGAGAAGCTAAGAGGCTAAGGAGGGATGACACCCAAACTAATGCTGCAGAACTGGTTCTATAATAACATCACTGCCACTACCATGGGCTCAGACGCAGGTAGTCTGCACCACAGACAGTACCAGTGCTGCATACTGGAAACTGCCCATATAATTTAGGCAAGAAGATAGTTGCAAGTAACAGAAAATCTGGCCAAGAATAAGTTAATAATAAATGTTCATTTTTCTTACATATCTAGATGCCAGGTGCTGTAAACCTGATTGATTCAGCTGTCCCCTCCAGATCTGCCAAGGATGCTGGCTCTTTCTGTTCTTCTTCTTTACCTTAGGGTATTGGCTTTAATCCTCAGTTTCCCTCTCATGGTTGCAAAATGGCTGCTGCAGCTCCAGCCCTTATGCTTGTAGTCAATGCAGAAATTAGAAGACAGAAGGAGTGGCTTCTGTCTCAGAAAGGCAAGAATTTACCCTGAAATCCCAAATCCAATCTCCACCTATATTTCCCTGGCCAGAAGTATTCTATAAGCTATCAGAAGATACAAGGGGAACCAAGAAAGCACTCCTCTGGATTGACCA